TAATAATTTTCCATATATTTACGTAATAAAGATATTCACACCGAAAATTAGATATCAATACAGTTTTTTGGATTGTAAAAAAATATTTTTAAATATAAATATTTTCATATTAAATCTAAAATATTTAGAAATTCTATCTTAATTCTAAAATATTTTACTTTATTTATTTTACATAAATAAAGTAATTATTGATATTATCGGTATTATTATTTTCTTTTAATTAGAAGAAAATTAAATTATCGAACATCTTTACAATATTGCCAATTTTTACTCCAATTATGTTTTTCTTGGTTAAAATTTTTATAAAACACCATTACATTTTTTCCTTTAAGTTTTTGAATAAAAAATTTTAGTACAAAATAGTTCAAATTTTTTATGTTATTGATGCAAACATATCCATTCATACACTAAGAAATATAAATGAGAACCTTTTGAGTTTCAAAATTAGCGCATAAAGTTATGAAACTTCATTGCAATATTAATAATTTACTCTATTTAGCTATGAATGAGATGATTAATATTGAAGTCAAACGTATCATTGATATGTATCATTATTTCCAAAAAAAATGTATGATATAATGATTGAATTCGTGAAAATTAAGAAAAAAAAATACTTTCATCATTTTTTATTTAATTCTTTTGTTAGAAAACTTATCAATGTACGGTGTCACATTTCAAGCTTTTTATAATAAGAAATATAATAAGTCAATAATCATGATATACATCATTTATTTTACTTTTAGTTTATTATGGCTTGATTTTGATTAATTTCAATTTAGAAAAAATTGTTGAAATATAACTCGAATTTCAAAAAAATAATCATATAAGTTTTAAAATATAATTTTTTTACACATAAATCAAGTAGAGATTTTTTGAAGTCAATTCAAATTGTGACCAATTTTATTTGATTTAATCATTGTAAAGTGGAGTAATTAGTCTGCAATTATATGAAAAAGCTGGTGGCTGCTCTTAAGAGCAGAATTTACAATTTAAGTAATTTAATCTATGGATGTAGTTTTGAACATGTTTTGTATATTGATCTTGTATACAATATCTTGATATTCAAGTATGTTAAAAGTATACTTGAATAAATCTAAAAAACATCACATTCAGTGGATAGCTTTGTCGGAAGATGTACTGTACATCCGGGCGCGCCACCATAAAGTTGATGATTTCCACCAAAATGAAAAACCACTCTGAGAAAAAAGAGTTCACTTACTATCTCTTTTTATCTGACCTCAACACCTTTGTGTTAGTTTTCCTTGTTTCAATTATGGGGGTTGGATTTATCTACAAACATTATAAGTCAAATTGACCTAGGAGATGGATTTAAAGAAGGATTTAAATAATGTATGGATTTATTTGATATTGTTGTAAGTGCAAATTTACCAGAGAATTGCAAGTATTGAAGACTAACCGGGGTGAGCGAGGACACTAACTTCTAACATTTTCACACACATTAAACGTGCAAAAGAAAGGCGCTTGCAAAGAGAAATTTGTCTGTAACTAGGGTGGATTGCAATTCCCAAGAATCTTCAGTTTACAGTAGGCCAATCTAAGCAGCATCCACGCTTGCAATAACTGAGTGGAAACTAAAGATAGCTCTTAACATAGTCTACTGTACTTTTAAGTACTTTTTGAAAACTGGAGTATCGTAAGTCGATCTTTGTACTTTTCGACATGAAATACTATGAGCAGTTTTTTAGCCTAGCTGCTACAATAGAACCTACCTTCCTTTAATGTTTGCTTTTGTTAGATTTAGAATGACCGAGAACATGTCTTCCTCATGGTTTTCGTACATACTGCAACCATTCAGCAGTTCTAGGAATGTGATAAATGTGAGTCGTGCTGAAACGATCGGTATGACGATCACTCTATTTGAAACGGTTGAATTCTTAGCCAGAATTGTACTTGTTGTACCTACTATCCAACTGTGAAAATGCTACCCTGCGGATATTTATTGTAATCCTATTGTCATCCTTTTATCTTATGAAGTGTAGTAGATACCACTTTAATGTCTTCACAATTTATTGCAAGTCCTTGTGTGAATATACTTTTCACAATTTTGTTCCTTCTTTGGATCCGGTTCAAAGTAAATGGGTTGTCATTTTCGCTAGCCACTCAGATGTAACGTTAACTCACCATCTCCGAGCTTCAAATGTTGCTACTGTGGCTTTATGATGTAAAATACACGATATTTCGGCATTGGTGATGTATTTATCAAATAATCATTGGTGAAAAATAGTTTGAAGATTATATTGATGTATATTCGGGGAATCAATCAATGCAGTGATATTTGCTGGATGATGCATGAAAAAAATATGACGTAGAAGAAGGAAAATAAAAAAATTGAACCAGCATTCCAGCAGCGAGCGAACAGTGGATTCTTGGACAGAACAAGATGCAACATCTAGATCTGCCAACACTCGGAGAGTTAAATGCACCATGGACCACAATGGTTGCTGTTCTTAATCTTGTTTACATGAAATGAGCCATATAGAGGGGCAGGGCTAACCAACGCCAAAGATATATATATATATATATATATACATATATATATGCAAGTCTATGTTCATTGCTATTTTATATCCAAAACATCAAAACATCATTACATACCCCGAGAGAAGGAGCAAACCTGGAACGTAACTTAGAACCTAATAATTGGCCTTAGGTTTCTAAATATTGTCATGGTGTGTGTCAAAAGGCATAACAAATTTCGCGGCTTACACTCCCAGATACACAACGACATATATCTAGTAGTGATAAATCCATGGTAATCCAACTCCGTTTTTGGACGGAGAAGAGGTTCTGGAAAATTGCCAATACTAAGTTTTGTACTAAGGTTCTTCTTTTCAGAATTTCCTCGCTTGAAAGGGTACAGTGGCAGGGAAATCAAAATGATTCAATATGATTACATTCACTGTGCCATGCAAAGATATGATACAGGAAATGGTAAGTAAAAAAAATGGAAGACGAGCAACCGGCAAGTGATTGCTTTTTATTTGGTAGCACTTTTTACCAGAAAATAAACAACCGCCGCTTGTTTGGTGTTTATTTTTTTGAGACGAATCTATACTCAGTCCTCTCTCGTCATTTTGCTCATGGAGAGGTTGTTCCCTAGTGGGTGAGAGTTGTGTTGTTTAGAGACTTGAGCATTTCTTTCTTTAATTTGAGAATCATGTCCATGTTTCAAGTGCATAAGCTACTTCTGTGAATGATAATCCCAGATTAAAGATTGACCATGCATCTAGATGAGATACTACACAATATTTCATGAAGGTGCTCACAAGCAAGTTGTTACTGAAAGTTGGACAATAGAGAGTGATCTTCTCATATTTGAATTACACATAAGATAGACAGAGCTTCAAAAGGTATGATTCAGTTTTTTTTAAAAAAATTTATACGATAGACTTAAAATTTAAGATTTCAAATTATAAAACATACTCTCATGTAAAATTTCTTCTTCAACTTCAATTTTTAGAAGCATTTAAAAAAACTAACAAGAAATTGTGCATTATTCATTTGTAGTTTGCTTCATCATCTTTTATATGAGGTTTATGTATCACTTTGATGACATTTTTGTACTTCGGTTTTTTGAATGTGCCTCAAAAGAGTTGGCAAGAATTCAAACATCTTACTTGACATTGGGTGATATATAAAGTTTTATTAATTCATAGTTCATGTTTATTAAATAAACCGTCCCATCTTATATACACTCTATACTTGTTGGTTACAATAAGGTACATTGATAAGATCATGCAAGAGATATGAATGAGTATATTCTACTTGAAGTTACTTTTATGTAAATAACTTTTTTTCTTTCTTTCAAGATAATATGAGCTATAATCTTATCTTCTTTTCTTGTCAACTGGATTTCACTTTGAAAAACTAAAAGATTCAATTGGTCATACATTTTCTTGTAGTTTATGAAATCGTTTAATGTACTAGTCTAAATTGTCTACTATTTTGTATATTTATTCGAAGCTTAACTTGATCATGAATGATGACTTTTCTACTCACGTCCACAAACTATTTTAACTAAATGAGGTTGGAGTCTGATTATGTTGCATATTTTACACCTTGGTAATTTATCTCATTATCGTATTATTCAAGATAAAATATTGAATAAAGAAAAAAATTAATCATGATATATGAAATTGATTTAGAAAAAGAGACTTTACATTGTTATAGAAAAATATGGTTGATATGTTTTATGATTAATTTTGATCGATGGAGATTCATACTTTGATTGAAAGCACTGAATTATTACTCTCATGAAAAAAATCAAACATCTTTGCAATCAAATTTAACTACATTTGAGAATAGGATGTTATACGGATGATGTTGTGATTTTATGCTATGAATGATATTTGGAAGATACGCAAGCATGATCAATTCATATATATATATATATACATACATACATACATACATATTTGTGATAACCAACAATTATCAAAATGAAGCATAATGGTAAAGATTCGTTCTCACATAGACAAATGCAACACCAAAGAGTCAAGATTTGTCACTAATTAACATTCTATTCAAGAGTTTTACTTCTCAAGCACATGTCACTCCCAAAAAACACTGTTCTATCACAGCCGAAGGGTCAAAGAGCAGAGTATAGTCGACCACACAACCTGAAACTTATCCAAACAACACCTGCGGGAATCACATTCGACCCCACACTCAGATTTCAGGGAAAAACTTTCCAGAATTGGACATTCTCACCCTACTGACCCGAATGTCCAAACTCAAATTTGCTTAAATCCCGAATAGCCCTAGGCATACTCAAAACACCCGAATTGGACACTCGCAGCTTCAAATGCGGTAACGTCAACAAATCGAAGCGCATCATGCACGGCAACAAAACACACAAGCTCACGAACGTGCACGGCAGACTCAGGTTGACAGCCAAGATGAAACAATTGACAGAAAAGCTCATCAAGGAAAGAGCCTTGGGTCTTTTTATTCACTCTAAACTCCTGGACATCTCAACCACCCGAGGCGAAATACTCTCAGATGTGATGCCACAATTCTACCCCAAAGCGCCATCCTCTTGGTCTCCAGCGCAACGATCTGCCGCCAAAGGTCTTCGTTCCTCTTCTGCTCTACACTCTTTCTCTTTAGCCAACTTCAATCAAAGGACTTCACACTCCATTTACTTGGCTCGAAGGTGGTCTTCTCGCTCCTGCAAAGTCACATTCATGGTCGCGCACTTAGACGACAAGCTCGCAACTCTTTCTGTTGCTTTCGTAGTTGCCACCTCCCACTTTCTCTTCATTGCCACCGCTCGCTTAGTGCGAGTTCTATTCCTCACTAACTATTCATAAAATCCTAACTCTTTTGTGACAGCGTACTTCTCCCGCTTTCCATCCAAATACTTCAATAAAGGAACAACGGGATAAGTTATTACTTTATGTAATCTGTTTGGAATATTAGAATCCACCAAAGCTACAATAGGTATTTGTAATTGATTAGCTTCAAGTATAGCCATGGAATTTTGATTTGCATTTATTATTACTAAACAATCTGGGATATTGTGTGTCATGATTACTTCAAAACATTTTTGCATCTTTTTAACACGTGGAAAATAATCGAAAGGCGAAGATGTAAAAGCGTCTTTCAATTTAGGATGCGCAGAAATCCTGCAAGAAATCGGAAATGTAACTACTAACTACTTCGGTTCTTCCTCCAAAGACTTCTTCTCCACTTCGGGTATCACCACTTACTCAGGTGATTGTGGCGAGAAAATCTCAGGGGAGTCCACCACCGTCCCACCAACCTGTGCTACTACTTGCTCTAGTATCTTTTCACTCAAAGTAAGCTCCTTCGGCTACTCTTCACTCATCTTCAGCTGGGGTACTTCTTCCCTCTCCGAAAGCTGCGTACTCTCCGAAGGTGAAAGACTTGGACTTACCGTCGCCGTCTTCTACTCTGAAGATTTTACTTCTTACTCCATCGGGTCCTCATGATGTACTCCCAAAGGCACTGCTCCTTCCATTTGAAAATTTGGCTGCTCTCTCGTATCTTTGTCTGTCAAAGAGGCAGCCGCCTCTGACATGACAACACTTTCCTCCGAAGACTCGGACACTACCACCTTGCGGGTTGTTTTCTTCTTCGGTGTTGCTCGTCGCTCTTGGTGTCTTCAATCGAGTTACCTCCGTCTCGGCCATTCGCGCTTCTAGTCTTCGGTCTTCGCCGCTAGCGTTAACTATCTTCTGCCTCTACGCAAGTCTCCTACCCAATTGATCTTCAATTGTGACGACATCCATCAGATGTGGTCACAGTGGAGATGTTCCACCTCATGGTGAAGGACTCAATCGTCAACACCTCCTGCTCCTTGGGAATTCACTTTTCCTCACTCTTCGTTAGTAACCCCATTCCTCTGTAGAAATTGACTAAGAAGAGTGTTATGTGATTGATCAAATCTCCCTTCCATCTATTACTAACATTAATCTAAACCAGGTCGCAGAAGATCTTGGCCCAATGGATTGCTTCTCCTCTCATTGCACGTTCAAAAAATCGATCTGCCATGCTGTGACGTAGGTCGTGCGTTGCGGTCGTAAGATATGCATCATCGCTAGTGCAACCGCACGCCTCATCGAGTCCTTGTACTCCATTGTTAGCCATCCGTTCGTACTCGATCGCGGATTCTTGAAGAGTGGCGTGAATGTAAATTCTTCGGCGCACGTCACCTTCACACTCTCCTTCTCAAACACAAAGTCGTCATCGTTCCCCGCGCATGATTCCAAGACCCTTTTCTAGTGCTCAAGCGTCCACAACAATAGATTGCCCCGGAGATCGGTGCCTTCGAGCCGATTGTTATCCATCATCTCCTTGCAGATAGTCGCCGACACGCAATTCCAATCCCACAGTAGGAAATTCAAGCGTGTCGCGATTAGCTCCTGTCAATACTTCCTTAATTCAACATTGGGCACCCTGAGCGAGACTAATTTTGGCACAGCAGCTTTCGTGGGTCGCGTCATGTCTCTGGTCGTGTCTCCCCTTCTGCAAGAACCTCTCGATTGCAATTCCTTCTCCCTCGCACAATGTCGGCGCGAGAAGCCCGCTTTGTGCCGTTATCCTTGACGCCCTAACTGTTCCCACACGCGTGCGAATTGACACCCGCCATGCGTGAGGTTCTTGTCTGGCCCTTGGCAAATTCAAATTGTGACACTTTGTCTTCACCGAAAGCCCAATTATTACATTGCCGAAGATGTCTCCGCTGATGGTTAGAAGACGTATTCCATCTTCCTTCTAATAGTTAATTAATTTCCATTAAATCTCCTAACTCATACCCCTAAGAACTTGTATATGTACAATCTAAAGAGAATATGTTTAAATTTTAATTCTTTATGTAAAAATCGAAAAAGGTAGACACCACAATATTATGCACATAAATTTAGATATGATATAGAAAAGTTCGACACATGCCATCACGGTTGCTTTCTAGAAGAATCTTTTTATCATTTTAGATATATGTATATAACACACTTGGAACCTATATGTATTAAATACTGGATGGAATGTTTAGGTTTGTGTGTACTCCATAGCATCCGCCGGTTCCAGGCCGAACCCACTGCTTTCGAACAATGTTATGGTCCGGTCCGTGTAGTGAAGGTTGGTTCGTTAGACGAGTTCTGAGTGGGTGCTCTTTGGGGAGGACCCTTCCGTGGATGGTTGCCTGAGCAGCCAATTGCGTGCCCTGGAGTCAGTTCGGACGATGTAGTGTTCATTACAGGTCGTGATGTTCCAGACCGAAACGCGCCTAAGCTAAACACTGTACATAAAAGATAATATATGAATAAAATCGTCCGGATTCAAGGTTCACCATATCAATCTTATATAAAGCTTCCTGCTAGTTATATAGACTGATGTAAAATGAGACGAGCAAGATAAAACTTCTCTCAGAATTAGTTGATTTGAGGTTGACATTTTGAAGTCACATTATCAGAAACACTAAGCTAGAGGATATATCTTAAAAAAAACTTGCAAACAGCCCAGATTGTTTCAGTGAGTGAATGTTTTCACTTTTGCATTATATTTCTCATAATTTTCAATAATACTATAAGTTAATAGTCGTCTATTTATCATATTTAGTTAGCGTTAGTTTTAAAATTATGGCTTTTTATTTAGAACTTTTTTGTATGGTAAGGTATATATCTGAACCTGTTTATCGATTTCTGTGCGAGTTGAAATGTTACTTTTGATTTTGATCGTCCAGTGTACTTAATTTTTTTTTATAATTTTGTGTGGGTCATATTCATATTAACATGGATGTTAGAATGCTCAATTTTAGAAATGAACTGTAGATCTAAACCTATATGACTTTGGTAATACGAACTGAACTGATGTTGTAATCTAAAATAAATGTATCGTGATATTTGATGTGACATGGATGTAAATACTATGTATTTGCTTGACAATCAAAGAATCAGAATCAGAATTTGAAGTTTTGTTTTGGATTTTAGAAAATACAAATTTCTTTTTTAAAACGAAATGTTTAATAAATATTTGTATCTATGTTTTATTTAAAACGTGAATGTATTTAAATGAATTTACCTTTTTTATTCATTCTCGTTGTTTGATTTAGAGAAATGCAGAATTTCCTAGGAAGTTCATAATATATAAAATCAAAATCCATTTTAAATAATTGTCAGCATTTTCAGGAAAACAACCTTACGGCGAGGGCGATATAACCGAGGATAAAAGCACTACGGGTCTTCACCCTTCGTCGTCTGCAAAATATTTGACTCCGGATCTGGAGCTGGTGATAAAAGGTTTTAAAAATATTAAAAATTAGAATAAATTTATACTTGGAAATTTGCAATTTCCATAAGAAACAGTGTGATGGTGCCACATGCAATACATCATAATTTCATGACACATGAGTAATAAAAAACATTGAAATTAGTATATATTAAGTGACAGTTTAATTTTATTATTTAGAAAGTCGAAATATTTAATATATATCATGAGATTTTAATATAAAAAAAATTATTGTACTTCTATGAATCATGATATGAATTTAATTAGGTGGTATATGAATTTCATTCTCTTTATTGTTTGTTTAGCGATCACGAGCCAAAGAGTTCGTTAGAAAGGCGAAATTGAGGTGCGATTTCTCGACGGTCTGCGACACGAGCAACGGGGGGAAGCAACGGGCAATGCACCTCCGGCGGAACGCACCTGGAGCCGCCGACCGATGACGCCGGTCACGAGGCAAGCAGAAGGCGGCTGGCAGGCTGCTGCTGCTCGGCTGGCACCACGCTCTTGGGGTGCCGGAGAACCGAGGCCCCATTGGTCCGGGTTCGTCCGTCCGTCAATCCGCCCGAGTGGGGCCCACGCCCTCTGACCTTCTAGATTCCGCGGCTGTCGGCAACCGACAACGTCCACTTGACGCTCGGGCTACGTCTGACTCTCGGATCTCTTTCTTCGCCGAAGCCGGTCGTTCAGACCCGGATCCACTTGGAGCCTCGTCGGCTCGGCCTCAGCTCAGAGTGAAATGCGAAGTGCCTGCCGATGGCCTGCGACCGAGCTCGCCTCGGCTCAGCTGAGCATGGAAAGTGTGGCACGAGGGGGCGTGGAATTCTTCTCCGGCTCGTCCCCGTCGAGCTAGTATTGATCCCGCGTCGAGATCTCCAAGGTACATACGGTCGACGTAGCTTTAGCTGAGCTTATCTGATGAGATCCGAGGTTGAAAACGTGCGAGTAAACCAAATGTCTCTGGATCAGAGCTGTAATACTCGGAGTTTCAGATTTCCAGCGTCGCGTCGTCGCCGTTGTGCTACCTCGGCACTCTGGGCGTGGATATTCTGTTTTGGCAGCAGCAGCAGCAGCATTGGCAGCAGGAGCGGTGGGCATCCCTCCATCCACTGGCCATCGACGGGCCACCCTGTCGTCACTTTGACTTTCGTGACACTCCGCGACACTGTCGACAAGATCGAATACTAATGATCGGGAGTCACACATTTCTCTCGGGGCTGGCCGTGTCCTCGGTCTGCGCTCGAAGGCAGGGAGCTTGGATTTCGTAAACAGTGTACGACTTTCAGTGCATGCCCAAGTCAGTTCAGAGTCGATTGACCGTCTGGAGATGGTTGCCTGGTTGCAAATTCTCCCAACATTTATTTCAAGGACCGAATCACTGGGTGCTACATTGCCTCGAAGGTTACGGGCGCTTTACGTGCTTCGAGTCTATCTTCAGGGAAACAGAGACTGGGCCCTGAGGACTGAGGAGCACACTGCTTTTGACGTCAGTCCACTCCGCCCGGCTGTACTCTCTTCTTCTTGAGGGGAGCCGTAGCACGACGCCGCGTCAGGGAGTTGGACGTCTTTCAAATTCTGAGTTTTGAGGATCAACGATGGGAGGTCGTGTTCATTTTAGCAGAGTCCACTCACATTTTGAGGACTTTTGAATGAAGAATCTTCCGGATTTCGGTTCTGAGCTGGGAATTTGTAAGTGAACAGCTTCTCGTTAGTTGTGGCGTGGCAGAGAGAGAGATAGTCGAGGCTCAAGTGGACGATCTAACGAGCTTGTGTCCCTTTTCTCCAAAGGGACGTATATGGATGAGTGTAGCTCGGTGAACTTATGCCTTCAGATTGTGAGATCAGTCAATCACAGGGTGAATTCTGGACATCGAACTCGTGAGGTTCGGAAGCGTTATAGCGAAATTTGAAAACGATCAGTGTTGTGTGGTGTGGTTGAGCTTCTCGTAACGGGAGAACAGAGACGGTGAAGAAAAGATTCCCACCTGCTAGAGAGTTGTCGGGCTGGCAGAATGAGTACGTGTAAGGCAATTAGCTGGAGAACCTCGGTGATGCTATGCACCGTCCTTGTACTCGCGACGATTCAACCGAAAGTATCAGCAGACCTTGCTAGTGAAAGTAAGTTCTCCAACGTTGGACTGTTGAAAGCCTGAAGTAAAAGTAGGATCCTTTCTGCTCAGTGCTGGAACGTAATCCCTTGTGTACTACGCTAAGCTTACCTTGTCGAATGAAACTAAGGCCATCTTGGGCATTCTTGAGCTGGTAGTCGAGCTCGTCGTAAATTTTCTCACGTCCATGAAGTCGATTGTGTATGATCAAAACTATCGACTTTATGTTTGTATCCAAGATTCGTAATGAAAACTATTCTTTTCATATATCTACACCTAACTTACGTTCTCCTTCTCACTGAAACTGCTTCTGTTCTATCTTTAATGGTCTCCTCTGTGGTCCAAGAGCTCGTAAATAATTTACACTGTCTATACTAGCTTTCAACAGCTACTTTAGAGTCACCTGCTCGAGAGAAAAAATAATAGCTTACATTTCTCAAGTTCGGCGATTCTTCTACTTTTGATATGTAGTCTGTTGACTGTGATGTAGAGATGCGAAGTTGAAATTAGCCCAAGCAAAATCATGCGTATTCTGTAAATAAGTTTCTTAATAATGTGCATCGCAATGGTAGGCTGCGACTCTTGATTGACCCGTCATTCGCAGAAATGCAGCTGGTGGCCTCTAACTTATGACTGCCATGATATTATTTTGGGCAGCTGCTGTTTTGCTCAACATAAAACATAACCTATGGAATAATCCGCCTCAGTTTAGTAACTGGAGAAACGTCACACCAACATGCGAGTGGATTGGAGTTGTATGTGACGACCAAAACACAACGATCACGAGTTTGTGAGTATATTTCCCTACCCGAAATTAGACTAGGTCACGAGCAGATTATTAGACTGCAAGACTTATTATCTCCATGTTCTCTCCGTTCCTCCATATCTGACAAGAACTGGTGTGCTTGTGTCCCATTCACAGAGATACGCTTTCAATCGTAATCGACGCTCCAATCCCAGTATGTTCTTGAACCAATGCGTAATTAAATTCTTATTCTGTACTCTTATGCCGTTCCCTTAATGAAGTTCAGAATAGAGCCCTCTGCTTTTTCATATGTGTACATATATCTGAATTATTTATGGAATATGAAACGCTTTTGGGAAAACTTGTACATGTGTGCTCACGCGTAAGGGCCGCGTGTCCTAGTCCAGCGTCGGTAAAAGGACATTGCACTCAAATAAATGAGAGGCCTATGAGACTTCTCATAGGCCTTCTGCTCATGAATGACGGGGCTCAAACTTTGTGCGGAGTAAATATTACAGAGTGTAACCAACTACTGAGGTTTAGAGGTAGTTCTTGAAGAATCGCTGCATAGACAGAGATCTGAGATGAAGGTAGTTCTTTGGTCTTGTTGTCAAGTTTTACATCAATGAATCAGAGTACCACCACTTGCTACAGTCCTTGTAGCGGTGTCGCATGCAGACGTATATTTCAAAACTTTGAGTTTCGGCGTAGCACCTCAACTCAAGTTGACACCATGTTCTAACTTTCAATCAACGGCCTTATCATGGCAGGAAACCATTGCAAATCTCACAAATCTGACTTTCATATATTTCTCGGGATCTAACCTTCTTGGCGAGATTCCTCCGTCAATCGGCTCTCTCAAGAAGCTCAGAAGTCTGTAAGTTTGATCTGACAAAACCCCATTGATGGTTCCTATCATTGATCGATGTCGTTTTACAAGCTCTCAGCTTTTGTGGGTATGCACACACGCAATAACCATATGCTAGATGCATTTTTTTTAAAAGAGCGCTACCTGTCTGGTGATAGGAGTACTGAGGTTTTTTTCCCATTCAATTTACTAAAGGAAGTCAAACGATACTTATGCTCTTCAAGATTGCCTCGTTAGCATTCGCCGAATCATTCCATGATATTTACATTTTGAAACTTTATAAGTTCGCAGAGATCTAAGCTCAAACGGCTTAAACGGCAGCATTCCTGCCGAGCTTGGAGATCTAACCAGCTTGACGAACTTGTAAGTTTCAAGTATTGCCCGATAGCAGCTGTGCCCATTACTTCCGTCTGATATGTTAGCGAAGCTAGAATAAAATCTTATGAGAATAATTGAGAGTAATCGAGAATAAACTCTTCAGCTTATGCTGTCACATGCTGAGGTCGTTTCTCCAGATACCTATTTCAGTAAGCTCATGAATGTAGTTTCAGAGGCCTCCTGTGCTGAAGTGTCGTGGACCTCACACTCACACTCACGCCAGGGATTGGCCTTTGGGGTCTTTTCCCTTGTTTGTGGTTTTCGCTTGTATTGTGTTTTCAGCCTTTTGACCCTTTGGGTCCCCCGGGCTTGATCTATTACCAATTACCATTTACCATTTACTTATCGTCGGACATTGCAGGCAATTGGGGCAAAACAACTTATCTGGCACCTTACCAGATTTATCCAGATTGCAGTCACTTCAGTTCATGTAAGCTCCTCGAACAACGACTCTGTACATGTATGTATTCATCTAATAAAGCTAATGCAATTACGCAGTAGGCATACATGTAAGAGTTTGGTTCTTACGTTCGTCTCCGACTGTCTTTCTGAATATTGCTTTCAGAAATTTGGGCCCAAACAATTACTTGTCTGGCCCCGTTCCAAGTTGGATTGGAGACCTGTCGCAACTCGAAGATATGTAAGTGTTCCTTATTAGTCTGGAGTTATCTCTACTCTCACCTTTTATCATCAAAAATTTTGATCTGTATCTGCAGTCTTGTAACAGCTCACTATAGTTACTAATTTTCTTCATTTGAGCCGATTTGCATTTAACGGATGCTACCTTTTTAGCAAATGTCTTCTTGTCCAGAAGACGAGTGTCATAACGTTTTATTCATATTATATGAGCAAGATATTCTTTGCTTCTGAATCTCAAAATCCCTTGCAGAGACATCAAGATTACAAATTTTTCAGGAAGTCTCCCGTCAGAGATAGGAAAACTGAAAAATCTTCGGTCCCTGTAAGTAACTTATTCCTGAAATCACTCAATCGCATCAAATTTTTTCAAGCCTTTATATCATTATCCTTATCATGGAAAGCTTGAAAATGTGAATTTTTGCTCGCACTGTGTACCATTGATTTTTCTTTTGTTTCATCTTGTAATTTTATGATATCCAAAGTATGATGAAGGGTGTAGACTCACTTTCCGGAGCCCATTTTCCAGGAACGCGGGGGCCAGTAGTCTTTCCGGATTTCTGCCTCCAGAACTTGGAAATCTAACGTCTCTTCAGTCGATGTGAGTATGAATGATTGAAACAATAAAGTGAGTGAACAGCAAGCCAACAGTTGGACAAAATGAGAACCAGACAAAGTACCCTGAAGAGTTATAGAAGAGAGAAAAAATAATTAAGATGCAGGCAGTTTACATGAGAGATCTATTTATCGTTGTGTCCTGTGATAAAGTCTGTAGTACGGGCCAGTTTTGTCTCGATTCGTCTAGCTCTTCCATGACTTTGTGAAGATAACCTTTTTAATCTGTCATCAAGTTTTCAGTCTGCAACAAGGAGCCTGGAGCCTGATTACAAAAGGCATGTAACTATTTTACGTCTTCATCTACCTCCTTTTTGCTTGTCCTGATTGAAATATTTAACCTTGTACAGCCAGCTGAATGACAACAAACTCACGGGAAGCATTCCGGATTCGTTCAAAAATTTACGAAACCTTACAAGCTTGTGAGTGGATCCTCACCATGACAAGAAACCCATGTTAGAACTGCAAAGTATTGTGCTGGATTCTACTAGAGAGTTCAAACTGAATGTGATTTACACGTGAGAATTTCCCCTACTTCTTTCTGTTGATGTATTGCTTATATTATTATAAGGATGTGCCTTAAACCACTAGCATGCGATGTTGACCGTTTTGCAGGGTCCTCGCGAACAATCGATTAAACGGGTCGCTTGGATCTTGGTTTGGGAACTTGCAGTCTCTTGAGCAGTTGTAAGTATCATTCTTGACGCATAACTCTTAGCGTCTCGTTTTCATTCACCAAATATAGTAGGTGTGACGTGGGAGTGATTTCGAGTCAATCGAGGAAAGTGTAAGTGACTGATCTTAATGCGCAGAGATTTGGATACAAATTCCATCGAAGGGCCTATACCACCCGAGCTTGGAAGTCTTCTGAATTTTACACTCATGTAAGCAACTTCTTTCTTGAAACGACCTGAGAAACGACTTGAGGATGGCAAGCATTTCATTCCACAAATTTAACTACTGCGCTGTAGTAACTCACAGATGTTCGTGTTTGTTCATTTCACTGAGTGATGAATATAATCATAATAGCATGATTGGCATGTTTGTCAAAGATTCTCTTTGGAAAGTCCTTGTACACTTGGTACTGTATAGTATTGATGCTTTCAATTTTTAAAACGAGCAGATGATAGTTCAGAGACAGTGTGTGGACGAAACCATGGTCTGGGTTAACGTTCCCGCATACACGTCTGTTTTGGCAGAGTTTTGAGTAAAAACGACCTGAGCGGAGAGATTCCTGATTCTCTTGGCAATCTTACAAAACTTTTAACGCTGTAAGTTGCTATACACCACACACTAATATTTCGTGAATATCTGTGCATTCTGAAAGAATAAAGTTCATTGTGGATTATAGGCACACGCAATGTGTGTGCCGTCCGTTGCTCTGCAAAATGCAAAAGCATGTATGTGTAGGATCACTGAAAGAATAAGCCGCCCAAAGTAAAATTTGATCAATGGTCCTTATCTTTCAGCAAATATGAATACCTGTACTCTTTTGGTCGTTGTGAGCACAATCTGAACTGTCAGGATGTTTTAATGCAGTTCCCTTGACGACAATTTCCTAACTGGTGATATACCAGCCAACATCTTCTCGCTTCCAGAGCTGGTTATACTGTGAGATTCTCTTCCATCCTTTTAAGATAGATGATTATGTTGTAATTTATTCTTAGAGTCAGACCATAGAAGTAAATCAGAACAGAAAATTGTAAATTGGATTGACGGTTTATTATAGTTGGTAATAAATAATTTGATCTAGGTTTCCTTTGTGGATAACGAGTCACAAACCATTACTGTGTAGGGTTTGTGTGTCCAGACTCAAAGTTCCGCCTGATAGTATAAGTCGATGTTCAGTTAGTAAACAATTAGGTAAGAGAGCACTCCTTGCAACTTATCAGTCTTTCAAGTACTTGTTCACACCTTTGGGGCTGTTGGATTACTGAGATGTCGGGGTGGGGATAGCAATCTAGTTAAATTTGAGTTGGAGCTTGAAGAGCATTCAAGGTAATGAGTGCTACACTGAAAGTTGTGACCTGAAGAGGATTGCTTAGAATCTACCTGAAGGTTAAATTGAGTGTAGGCAAGTTATGGCAAGTTTAACAGATTTCTGCTGCAGTAGAGACATATCTCGAAGTGACCTATTTGGATCCTTTCAAATAATTATTTTCTAAATATAAAAGAGTTGTTATCAGAGACTTAAAACAGATTTTGAACGCAGGAAAGGGAAAACAAGGACTACAAGACCAAGACTGGCTAATCTTCAGAACAAATTTTTAGAGATAGAGTGAACTCGAACTCATGCCGGAATCTACTGGACACAGATTCCTGCATATGGATAAAGTCGCGTGCTAATTTGCGTTTGTGTGCTCTGCCAACAGAAAGCTCGACAATAATTGCCTGAACGGAACTACTCCACCCACTCTAAATAATTCCGGCACAATAGAGTAAGTGAATTATAGATCTGATTACAATAGTATTGTCCTTCTAAGTGCGTCTATTGCAAACTTTGCCCTTGTAAGTTAACTACTATGTAAGACAAAGGTTTTAAATCCGAGTTTTGTCTTCTCAGATCCACTTATACCGGCAACTGCTTCAGTGACAGCAATACATCGCAGTCTTGCAAATGCGGTACGATTCATGTTTCTCTTCCAGCCATGAGCTTCTGTCTGACTATTAAAAGCACATATGATTTTAAAGTTTCTGTGAAATAGCTACGAAATCAGTTCGCTCTCCAAGTGACACTTGTCGTGGACGTCGAAGCCAGTTCAGATCAAAAGGGATCAATTTTTAAGAGACCAAGAGCCTCTGATTAAGAAATTTGAAACACCCGATATGTCTTGCCACTTTTCAGCTCAGTTGGCCCTGTGTGTGGGATCTGAGTGCAAGCTGTAAAGAGTGTACTTGTGTGTGTCCGAGCATATTTATCTGCATTGTTAGTTTCAACTTAGAAGCTTGAGAAGTTTGGAAGGGAGGTGATCTCATCTTATGGACTTTGTTCTAGGCCATTAGGAAAATGTGATTTCATGTGGATATATTTTATAATAAGCCTAACCGTTTCCATATCTCCAGCTGCTACATCTCTAGCACCCGTTCCGTTGCAGGTCAATGGAGGGGGAACAAGCAACAATAATACAACAATATATGTTTCAGTGGGTGTCGTGGTGGGAACTCTCCTCGTGCTAGGAATTTTGTTCTTCATCCTTTTGAGATGCAGAAAGCGGCCCGAGGAAAAGACCCCTCACAAAGGTTTGTACCTCCGTACTGATACTTTCATGTGGATGTTTCCAGGAGCCTCAGGTGGCTTGCTTTCTTCATATTGAGATTGGGATATATCAGAACCTTGTTCCCTCTCCTACTCCGGGTGCAAGTTGAACGCAGTCGTTCTAGAAAGTCATACGGGTTTCGTCTGGAGATTCTTCTATATAACACGTTTTCTGGATTTATATTTTGGACTTTGATTTCGTACGTTTGTTCCTCTCGCAGGAGCAGTCAAGCGTTTCAAGCTGTCAGAGATAAAAGAAGCCACTAAAGAATTCACCACCATTATTGGCAGTGGTGGGCAAGCTACAGTTTACAGGGCGGAGTTTCCTAGTGATGAATCCAAGAGCGGTTCGTTAGTCGTAGCTGTTAAACGCTTTGGCTTCGGACACAAAAGGAAAAACCGCGCTGAAAAGACTTTTGATCAGGAGGTCGGTCTTCTTGCGCGTCTCAATCATCGATGTCTCGTGAATGTTAAGGGCTATTGTGTAGAATCAGGTGCCATTCTTTCCCTTCATTCTCGTTGCCAATCAAAGAACCTCGAGCGCGTCAAGTTATTTTAATTTCTAAGTGCCTAAGTTTGCTTGATCCAGCTAAGAACAGTAGTGGATTCGCAAGTTGTACCAATGACATAGACCTACTAGGACACGAGGATTCGAGACATACATGAAAGGAGGGAACAGAGTCTGGTCTCGAGTGATTCAGAGGAATGGGACCACCGTAACACCATCGTCTTTGATCTCTTGCAGGGGAGTACATTCTCCTGGTTGAATATATGGACAGGGGAAGTTTGTACGATCACCTCCATGGTATGTGATTTACCTCATTTCATCTGGATTTGTGTAATTAAAGATGTAAGGCATTTGAGTAAGAGCTAATCGAATTTTGACGAAGCACAAAAAGCTGCGGTGACACCAGCTTTGCATGAAACAGCATACATAAGGAAGAAAAGAACTTCGGCGTTTTCAAAACCATCATCTCGAGTAGTGAAGCCCGTGTGTGTGAGTTTTTGCAGGTGAAGTGAACAAACAATCAGTTGTTATTTCTAAAGAACCGCCTCTGACCTGGGAAGAGCGAGTGAACATCGCAGTGAGCGTCGCGGTTGGCATCGATTATCTGCATTATGGATGCTCTCCACCTGTTTATCACAGGGATATCAAAACTGCAAATATCCTTCTGTCATTCGAACAGCAAGTGATTGCAAAGGTGTGCACCGTTTTAGAGATTGTAGGCAGTGCCATATCACGAGTTCAAAGCAAACCAACAATTTGTACTCATTCTCATTCACTTGTCCATCACCTTCTGCATATTCATAGTACAACCTGCGTAGCTTAAACGAACTGGAAGTGAGCCATGTTCTTGAGCTGTTTTCTTTTGGCCTCTTAGGTTGCGGATTTTGGACTCAGCAAGCTGACATCCATCGAATTCAGCGAATCCGACGAAGACTTCAACACTGGAGCACCTAAAGCCGAAGCTACTCAAGTGCAGGGCTCTCATGGATACATCGACCCAGAGTTCCGGAAGACATGTGTTTATACAGAGAAGAGTGACATATACAGTTACGGTGTGGTGCTCCTCGAACTGATCACGGCCAAAAAAGCTTCCGATCAGAAAAACAAAATATTCTTGACTGACTGGGTAAGTCTTTTACTCTCTTCAACTCGTGTCCGTTTCAAAGAACTTTAGGATTTCGTTGACCTCACCGTCTAAGTATCTGTCAGTACCTCTCGTTCCCTCCAGCTGTAGACAGGTCATTCAGTGCAGTATTTTTAGAGCTGGATTAGAATCTGATCAGATTCTCTGATGGAGCAAGCACAAATGATTTGAGTCAACCAAGCAATTGGCTTCCAGAGTTATTAACTTGCATGCGGAGACGACGAATATCTTTCAGGACTGACCCACTGCTGTCTGTGAAAGTCTGATGCACTGTCCTGGAAGGCAAGCTCACAGTCGGAATTTGTTCGCAGGCAACCCCGTACTTGGACGAACCGAGGGACCTTCTGCCCTTTGTCGATCCTTCACTAAACGACAAATTTGACGAGGAGGAATTGATAGCTATGGCAGAGCTGGCTCGGAGATGCATAGACCTGAGTCCTACAAACAGACCGACAGTCAAGGACATCCTCGAGACTCTGAGGACTGTGTTCAAAAAGCAAACAACGATGATCAGCACTGGACAGACGAACATAGCCTCTACCATGTCGATCTCCACCATGCGCAGCAATTCCAGTCTAGATTTCCCGGATCACACGCACAGCATCAATTCGTACGGTAGGTCGGAAATTCTACCACGAGAGTAAGGAAGATACCATTCTCAGCCACTTTGGTCGAGGGATTCTACATGGGTGGGATACTCTGACCGCGAGCAGTAGATGAATTTGAAGGTCTCAGATGAAACTGAAGATGAAATAGAATGAAACTGTAGTAGATGAAACTGAAGGACAGCAGGTATCGGACAACAGGCAGATAGCGAAATGATCTCTCTGCTCAAAAACACAGGAGAGGTCAAAGGCCTGAGTCCAACTGACTCCGACATGTCGGCTGTCGGTTTCTGAAGGAGCAGTCGCACCCATCTGATGCTGTCAGTCGAGAGATGCTCCATCAGGCTCGTTCGTGCCTTCTGCCTCTCTCTCTGGTTCAGCTCGTGCAATTTCTGCTGGCTGCTAATTTCGAACGCAGCATTCTAGCCTCGTCGGCGGCATTTCACCCCGCCTCATGCATATTGCATTTTGTAAAATATGATCATCAAGGTGACGAAGCTTATTTCTAATTGTCTTTTCGATGAGTAAAAATGAACGATCTACATTTGTACCTCAACTTTTCGCCCTCAACTTTGCTCTTCGAGTTCTCCTATGCTCCCGTGGCCCTTATATACCGAGGGCCCTATCCACTGATGAAGCGGCCCAGTCTACATGATGGACATGTGATGCTTCAAAGATGCTTGATAGTTACTGCGGACTTTCTTGCTTCGGACTGGATCTCCATACTGCACATTCAGTTCCCATCATTGTCAATCGACAGCAGGTCTCTCCTATGTATTTTGCTGCTACTAGGCTTTTGATGGTAAATCCCGTCTTTCCTGCATATCATCTGCACCTATTTGGCGTTTGCCCTCAACCACAGATGTCGTCATCCGTTCTTTCCAATGAGTCAGTCAAGCACGATGAACGCAAAAACCCACAATATATCCTCTCCCTTTGGTAGAGCATCATGTGCCTCAGATAAACATGGAAGTAAAACTTATAACCACATAATTTCCAAATATGCAGAATTAACTAATAGAAACTTCGGGGCCTTTGGCCGAAGTTTATGTCCGCTCTTTTCACAAAAGGTTTATGTTTACTGTTCATCGATTTGTGCTTCAGACCTGTTTCACGCACTCTATCTATTGTGATTTTCAAGTAAACTTGGAACTGGACTCTTACTTGATTCGATGCTCACAGCTTCGTTTGCGTGAATTCACACCTTTGACTGCATTACTCTCATCATGGTGGAACTTGCATCCTTCATTACGACTTGAATGTACTGCCATCGTTTTAGTGTCAGACACAGCTTCCAAGGTCCGCACTGTGCTTGTACTTGGTCTCGCGATCTTTTACTTTCTCAATTATACATCTATCTATTTGGGAAGATGTATCATTAGTGCTAGACATATCCCTGAACTTTCTCGACTTTTCCATGAAACTTAAACTGGCCACCAAGGGTATAAACACATAATTAATTAACTTTTTAGCTTATAATTGGGTGTACGTGTGGGTATGTAATGTACACCCACACTGTGTGTCAACATGAGTCGTCGTATCGAATGGGTCGGAGATCAGAGAGAAAAGAAAGAAAAGAGGTGGCACTACTCCGAGGCAGACGACGGACTGACGACTTACTCATCTGATTATTGTACATTTCGTTTTAGTTCTACATGGAGTGACTATCTACGACGAAAGCTTGGTGGGGCCAAGACGAAGCAGTGAAGAGAGAACGGCTTCGCCATCCGAGCATCAGAGCGCCGGCGTCCTCTGAGAGAATGTAGCTCTTGCACGCGAATATTTTCAGCAACAGCTTGGCCTGCGATTTGGCTCGTTTGCACAGCCTCACACTCTCAAACCTCGCCTGAGCCATATGCTCGCGCCATTTCTCCATTCTCTCTCGGTTGCATGGCCACTTTATCTCATGGCAATATTTGACACATGCATTCTAAGGAAAGTTTAATTTTCTATAAAATATAAGGTTTTCACATTATCTCATGTAAATTGCAATTGCATTGTCAACATGAGAAGTACTAGGAAATCAGATCGATGCAATGAAGCTAGTGACTTGAACGTGTAACGCGTAGCGGGGAAAAACTAATAAAGAAAATGGAAATTCTGTGAGTCGGTAACAGGACGGCTGCATAACCGGGTAACCAACAAAATTAGCAGGCTAGCCAAGAAAACGGAAAACTCTGCCGACTTTCTAGTCAAAATGGCGACTCCTTAATGGCAGGGTGCTAAGAAAAGTGTTCGCTAGAAAGGAGTAAGAACATTCAGTATTTGCATGCAGGGACAGTTTTTCCTACTTAATAACCCTATCATCTAATCAGACTACGCTTATATTCTGAACCAGGGGATTCCATTGTCTCCAGTTATCAGGTAATGTGGACATGACGCTGCATGCACAAATCTAGTTCACAAATCATCACAATACTTCTGCAGAGATTGGAGTACCTTTAGCTGACCTGAAACAAAGCTGGTTTCAGGCCTGCTATACAATATCACCTAACCGTGAAAGTCTCAAGATGGATTCCATGATGAGTAAGTGAAATAATTTCCATAGTTAGCAGATGTTATGCACATGTGATTTGCCTATTCGCAGTTCGCACCCTTGTGCAGGCCGCGCTTCTGTATTTCTTGCCGTGATATTTTTCGAGGAAGGTTTGAGCCGCAGATGGTCAGTTAATTAATCATAAGGGACTCTTTTTTCTGTTGACCAATGTGATTATCTTTCTAACCTAGGTTGGTGTTTTCATTGAACTCGTGCCCATGATTATAAACACAAATTTTCTAATACAAAGCATCAAAAGAATATGGCATGAAGTTAAATTTTGGTTTTCAATCTTCATGTAAGTAAATGTACTTTGTCTCAAAATTTATATAATGGGAATGTATTCATATGAGTTGAAAGTATATGTTTATTTGTGAAAAATGTTTCTGTTGACATTGTCTTGTGCATCTAACTGTGGCTTTTGACTCAAATGAAAAATTCTTTAGAATGTTGAACTATTTCAAACAACATATAAGATTACTTTAAACTAGAGTTTATTTATACAGTTTGATGTGAAGTTACTAGAACAATCGAAACGCAGGTTTTTGTATATGGAGATATGTAAAGAACTTTTTGGTTAATCTAGCTTTCGACTTTTGTATAAACAAGCTTGACTTATTTGTGATGAAGTAAACAAGTCATGCTGAATTTCTTCCGCAACTTGTTCATGATGAATTCTCACATCTCCTAATTCATCCTTGTGTTTTACATTATCTCTATACAATAACAAGAGTACTCTGAAGTATATCCAAAATTTTGATCTTAGTCATGACAATAGATAAAGATCGTCCTTGATGATCTTCTTGATTTTTAAGCAAGACTTTACAATCTTTGATTTTTAAAGTGATTGAATAAGGAATGTATCACATGATGTGCAAGAGAGACTCAAGATTAGAAATGAAGGACTCTCATTTTGCAAGTTTAAATCTTATCCACTTTGTGCTAACTAGAACTTTATAATTTTCTTTGGAGAGAAAGTACTTTTTATGCATCATGTTGTAGGATATTTTGACACATTATCTTTTTAACATACATATAAAGAGTAAAATCACATTGACGTTTACAAATAGGGCAAACTTCTATGTTCCCCTTATGCGTAGTGTTTAAACTTCACAAACTGGGATCACTCCCCACCCCGCGTTCCCGATCTCTTTGTCTTAGGAGACCTCCCTTCATCCTGCAGGATATATCGAACCGCAGCTACTAAGTTAGTGGTTAGTACTTTGGCCGGCTGGCAAAAATAAAGTTCCTAAAATCTTTTTTGGCAAGAAACACATATTTGGTAGTTGTGTAAGTGTACATTAATTTCCAATCTGAGATCTTCGAGTCTCAACGTTTGAAGTTGCTGACTGAGCTTACGTTGACTGCATGCTGGAGGACCCACCCTATACCCGCAGCCTTCAACCGTACCTAGTGATAACGTACTCTACCAAATTATTGACCACTATCTTTCAAGTGCCAGATCCTGAACCAGTACACATTTCATGCTAGCGCGACTTAACATTAGCAAGCGTAAATTGATGTCATCAGAAAGAATCTGATAGAGTTTTGCCATGATCATTGTGAAGGTCACCTTCATTCTTTCAGTAGCGACAGCCAGACCCCGCACCGACCCGAGTGTCGCAACGGAACGCACTAGTGTTACAGCCCCTACCATATTGAGATGTCATCGCTGCTGCTGGTACTGGATATCAATTATTGTATGGTGCCCTCAGACTGTATTGAGGAGCCTGGACAGTCCCTACATTGGATACAACAGCTGCCACTGCTGCTTGGCTGATTGCCTGATAGAGAAACAGCATATTGAAAATAAACTCCATGTATACATAATCCTACAACCTCTCAGTTTCAGATGCTCCAAACTTTTACTAGTTGGTGAGTGAAATTTGAATTGGAACCAATTCAGATTTTATTTACCGACTAGTAAAAACAGTCACAATTGTGCAGCATTAGGGGATTGTCCAGGTGATACTAGTGCCAGTAAAGCTGTCCTGTAAAAACAGTCATTAGAGTCTTCGCGATATTCTAAATTCTCAGCAAATAATAGATCAGCATGCTTTAACCACATGACGTAGAAAAAGAATGAAACAGCAAACGCTACTGTGGATAGATTGGAATCATAACCGTGATTCCAATCTACTAGAGTGTTGACTACACACTATTCAGTAGTAAGATATTGGAACTCAGACTTCAACCACTAGTCAACACCTGCTCGTACTATTTAATCGATCTGTACAAGCACTTAATCCCACTTGGCAGCATCCTGCTTCTCTACGAACTCAACTTGAGGGCTGGGCATGGGTCGCTACCGAGACTGCCTGACATTTCTGCCGAGGTACAAAGAAGGCCTCACTTCCTGTTGTGAGGGAAGAAGGAATCATCAAAAGAATGGCCTTTTCGAGTTTGATGAAATCGAAACTAACTGGTGAAAGTCTACAATACAGTATACGTGATGAGTCATGCGGAACACACTCTATACATGAAACTCAACCATGAAGTAATTGCAAGAAGGCATCACCGGAACTAACTTTGACCCGTTCGCTTTCGGCAGAGCTGTGGCACGTAAGTTTTACTTCTCTGCTGCAGGCATCGCGTTCAAATCATTCAGAAAAGGCTTTTTCTCACTACTGCGCTCAGGCATCTCTTTCTCAGAGTAGCTTTTTGCCTCACTCATAAACCTCCCGTTAGGGATCGAGCATGGAATAGGCATGCAACCTGTAAGTCAACCCAGTATATCAGCATCGACATAAACTCCGGATCACAAAAGTTAGAAAGGACTACAGATCCCAAAAGTTAAAAATGAAGTACACGATATCGAATTTGGACAGACCTGAAAGAAGGGATGCTGCAGGGCTTGTGCAGCAGGTGGCCTCTTGTTGGGATCCCAAGAACACATGGCCTGTGACAAACAGATCAAAGTTTCTATCAGACCATGAAGAATTCTACAAGCGCCTTCGTTCAGTAATCTTTATCTAGGGAAGGTTGAGACTAGTAACCTACGCAAGTCCACATAAGTA